GAGCATCCTCCACTGGAATCTCATTAGACCCTGTGAGAAAGACAAAGACCCTAACGTATGCAACAGTATATTTTCCCTGATTAAGAGGCATATTTGAGTAATCTTTTCTTAACAATAAAAAGGCAAACATTTATTTGACACTGACCTGGCTTCATGTCACATGCCAGCTGTAAATAGGCTCCACGATTCAACCCAACGTCTGGGAGCTCTCCAAGGAACTGAGCAGCTCTGTCCATCACATGAACAGGGGAAGAGTTCTGTCTCCCCTCATCTCCAGCATGCACCCTGCAACCATCCCCAACACATGGCTGCTGTTTTTGGCTCACCTGTGTAGGTGATCTACATCCGACCCCTTTGCACTCTCTTGAGGTGCTGTCATCATTTGTGGGACGATGAGAAATTGTGGTTGAACAAGACCCACCCGTGCAACCAGGATGAAACACCTCTGCGGTAATAGTCCTGGGGTTTGTCCTCCTGGTGCCATCAGTTCTCCCATGTTGAGGCTGGCTGTTACTATAGGATGACACCTGGGCGCTCTGAGCTTGATGACGAAAATGAGTGTCCTGCTGGTAGCTCGGATAAACCTGCCCTGTCCTAGATTGTCCAGAGTGGTGAAGTTGCCGTCGTGAAGAGGATACCTCTGTGCGCCCCTGGCAATGTGCTCCAACGCACGGTCTGCTCCAGTCCTGGCCGGGGAAGCAGCGTGTCCCTCGACATACTTCAGATCCACTCCCTGAGTGGAGTGCAGAAATTGAAAGAAGCACAAAAGTTGCACAAGCAGTAATCATCTTGCAATCTTTCCACAGGAAAAATGTTCAGAGGCCACTTGGGGAGGGTGGCCAAAATCTTTACCCGTCTGCCCCTTAGATTTATGGATTATATCTGATCATCTCTGTAAAGGTATAAAAAAAAAAACGCATTCCGTCGTAAATATCTACATAACTCAACTTTACTACACTGATACTACTACAGTTTGACTCCTTTGCGCACAGTGCTGCTTCTGGCTTTTTTCTGTGTGTCTGGCCCCGCATGTGGTGCTCACTGCAACGTCTAATTGGCAACAGGTTTTGCTCCTAGTCTTAAATTAACCCGTAGCTTTCCCAGACATGCCTTTCCATAGAGTTACTTCATTCTCCAAATATTGACTTTTATATTTCTGATACTCTGATTATACACTAACTTCTTACATACCATTAAGGGTTGTTGTTGCTGTCCATATATTAATGGGGGGGGGGGGGGGGAATAGGGAAACTTTTACCTCTAAACAGAGTGAACTCCTCATCTCTGTCCTCTCTTTGTGCCTTTCGTTTGGATGAAAGGATCAGTTGGGTTTTTAACAGGCCCACATTCTCAGAGAGGATTAAAAACTTTAAATACCATCCAGACTTTCATCGTGCCTTAATACAGGGGCTGTGGTGACACTTTTAGAGCATAGTCGTCTTAAAGTGAATGATCAAAACTGAATTTCCTGTTTCATTTCAACTTTATAACAGCTGCCACTCACATTTCCATTTACTTGAGATTTAAAAACGTCATTTTACTTCACGCGTCTTTCTTTCATTAAAGGATTACTAAAATCAGCTGCGACCTCTTTCAGATGCAAGAACACTTCACACATGAAGAATCAACCTTTATTTTCATTATGAGACCATCACAAAATCTGAAAGCATGCATAACTCACAGAAAAAAATTTAAAACACCTTTAGAAAATATAAACCATCCTAAAAAAAAAAAAAACTCTCATTAAATATAAAACAGAGCTTCAAGAAATGTAAGAAGCAAAAAAAATCCCAGGATAAAAAAAAAATATATATATCCTAAGAAGATAAAATATGCAGCCAGAAATGTTGTATAATAATGTACAGAATGTTGTCTGTGCAGTGTGTAGGACATCTGTACAGTAAGATAGACTTTTCTGGTTGTCATCAGACATGTGTGGGTGTTAGTGTAGATGTCAAGGTGGGAGTGTGCGGCTGGAGGGGGTGGGGGGTAAATGTTTAAGAGTTATTCCTGGAGATATGAGTGATAGTGTTTGACAAAAGTGGTGGTGATTGTTTTCATAGCCTTTGGAAAGAACTTATTTTTTGATTCTGTTAGATTAAAGTGAAATGTTCCTGAATCGGTTTCTTGATGGCATTGGGACAAACAGGTTTGGGACACTGGTTTGTGATATTTGTGGCAATGCGTCCATTTTTATTTTGGACGTTTATTTAGTAGGATGTTTACAGATGCAATTCAAATAGATCACACTGTTAGATTGGTTAAAAATGCTCTATCTAGGGAAAACCAGCCGACTCCATCCATCCATCCATCCATCCATCCATCCATCCATCCATCCATCCATCCATCCATCCATCCATCCATCCATCCATCCATCCATCCATCCATCCATCCATCCATCCTCTCCTGCTTAGTCCTTGCTGAGTCGCTGCCTGGTGCCTCATGAAGATGCTTGAGTGCATCATGAAGATACCTTCTTACAAGTCCTGTAAGTAACCCAAAAGTTAAGATTCTACTAAATCTGTGGTGCTGTGCGGAACTTGTTCTGCAATTTTACCAGAAGATTAGCTATATATTTAATAACTAGAAATGGAAGTTATAGTTAATTAATAGGCAATTTAAATCAAGGGTAAAGGGTAAAACTAATTAATTATTATTAGTTGAATGATAATTACCATATAATTGTAATTTATTTACTGACCAGGGTTCTTAGTCTCTTACATAAAAGGATGGACTCCTGAATCGGCTGTTTAAATCCAGTTGCCTCCCCTAATATAGTAATTTAGCAGAGTTATTAATGAACAACCAAATAAATATACCTCTGTTCATTTGGAGCTTCTTAAAGAAGGGTGAATCCAGCCTAAGTGATAAATCCTTCCTGGTATAAAATACACACATAGACAATGGTAAATTACAATGGTACCTTTATTAGCTAACAATAACACAGTATTATGAAAATAAGTTTTAAGGCTTAATGCATTGAAAGTGTCCTTTAAAATAGCAGCAGATGAATGTGAATAAACCCTGAAGCAGGCTTGTTAATTGCATTCAGATCAGTGCAGTTTTATGGTGAAAAAATAACAATGACTCAAGAATGCCTTAAACTTTTATGAGGCTGAAAGAGAATGGGTTAGTTAAGTTCGTCCCAGGGGGTCTGGTACGGGTGGGTCCAGCTGAAACAAGGGAAAGGTTAGAGCTCACATGCACTCTGGCTGGCATGTGGCTGGCATGAGGTAGCATGGAGCCAATGATGCTAGCCAGTCCACTCGAGTAGTGTCTTCAGACCCACGTTGGTTGTTCAGTCACCATAGTGAATTAGTATTCAGTAAAATTCTTAAAACCATCAGCTGTTGAATCAGAAGGATTGTTTTAAATAAAACACAAAGGCAAAGAATCAAATGGAAAGTCGGAAAGATGGATGGTACTGTTTTTGGCTTGAACCCCAGGAATGTCCAGTCTATTCCTCCAATGGCAGCTCTCAAAGACAGTTGGATTAATCCGATGTAATTTTGCAAGGGTAATTTTATAACTTACGGTAGCCCGGGATGTCTTCTCTTTAGCTACGGCGGTTAGCCGGCAAAGGCGTCCCTCATATAGCAGTGCTGGCAGCTCCTCTCATTCAGGCAGGACCAGTATGGCATGGGTCAGCGGCTTCCAACGGGTCTTTGGCAAACAGCTAATGGGCCCACCGTGCTTCTTCGGCAGTTAGATTTAGGTCGATCAGAGCTTAATTAGCTCTCCTTTACTGCAGAATGTAGGTTCATGAAGCACTGCGTTCAACTGAATCACAGGAAAAGGTGGTAACTACATTTAGCTCCTTCTGAATCGTAGGAAGGGTAGTCGAGCAAGTCCAGCAAGCACAGACCTCTCAAGAGGGATTTGGTCACTACTTAGTATAACTTTCAGCTTAGAAGTGCTTAATCTAGGCCTTTTGCGACCGAGGGCCACTGGAAGCACAAAGTTGAATGGGAAGTACGTCCTTTATAAACTATGTCAGAAGGGTGTGACTTCAAAGGGGAGTCATTTCGGTTAAATCACTGACCTTTAAACTGTACAAACTTATTCTGAGTCGTTATAATTTGTTTTCTAAGTAGGACATGCAGTGAAGACACTTATGGTCTTGAATGGATTTATGAATGGCTGCCAGAAACCCCTTTATACAGGACACCGACTCTATGACTAAACCATACGTCACCCCTGGTTGAATAGTTGGGGAATGGGGAATGTATTGTAGAAGGATTCTGTTTTCAATATTGTCTTTTACTGTTCTGTTCATTGAGTTACATTCCAAGGATAGATCAAAACATTCGACCAGATGGGAAAGGAATCTAGATATGTCTACTCTAGAGGCAGCCAGCAGTTTAATCCTGTCAAAACCACTTCATATTAGAGAAACAGTAAATGTATATATGTTCATATTTTTGAGTAGGTTTTATTTTTAACTTTTTGTTTAAGTGCTTTAGTAATACTGTTTATAATCTGAAAAAAGGAAATTAATTAATAAATTGAAATAAGCACAAGAAATGCAGGAAATAGACTTCATTGTTTTAAACAATCTATTTCACAGCATCCCTTTATTACATTCATTCTAACACGTGACTTGGAAACCGTTTCTCCTCGTCCCTCTTGAAAATGGGAAATACCAGACAACATACCAGCCGCTTCAGGCAGATGTGTGTTCAACTTCATAAGTTAGAAAAATTTTTAAACTTGTCCTTGTCTAGCATCTGTGCAGTAACTGTGAGTTTAAATTAGCTTTGAGTGTGAGAAATAAGCCACGGAGTCTAACTCTGCACATAGAGAATGTTGTTTCTAAATGTGGCTTCTCTCTCTCAGACATGCAGAATTGCGTCAATCTATCTGTGGCACTGCAAGCATGCAATATGTTTAGAAAAAAAAATAAATAAAAAAAACAACTCACAGTTTTACCAGAGGACTTAGATCTACTTCCTGTTTTCTCAGGAAGTTAAGTGAATATCTACAAAAAGTCATGTGGTTAGAGGACACCTAGTGTGGGCTGTTCATCAGTCACACTTAGTGGTGATCATTTGTGTGAAAGGCAGAGGTAAGAAGGCATTATTTTGTAATTAGCTGTGATGAGCATTAATGTGTGTAACTATGCAATACATTTAGAAGATCAAAATATATTTGTTTGTTTGTAAGTTTAATTGTGCAGTATTACAGCGATGCTTTTGTGTAGTGTAGAACTGCAACATCTCCTTTCTTCATGCCTGACCATGAAATGTTTTACCACATTTTTACCATAAATGGAGTCTTCCATCTTTTGATGTTATTATCTGATGTGATGTTCCTCGACCCTTCCTTACAGGTCTAGATGAATACTAAACCTCTAGATCAATATGCAAAAGCTTTTGCAGTGCATTTAAATTTCCATGCTAAGGGGAAAATTCAAATCAGAATTCACATACTGTCAGATCCTGTAAGAGTTAAATACTTGAATAGCCACGTCAGCCTTGTTTAAGTCAAACACATGTTCTTTCACAGGAGTCAACTCATGGATGTGCAACTAATAAATATAGAAATAACAAACACCAAGAGGCTCCCAGGCCACAAGAAGGGATCTAATATGACACTTTATTGTCAGCACTTTGCTGCAATTGTGTTCTTTCATCTTGATAAATGGTTCTCTTACCCCGGATTTGGCCCGAGCTGGATTGTTTGCTTCCCTGATGATCTTTTGGCAGTTTCATGCTTTAGTTTTATGGGAGGCCTCGGTGGGAGGCCGCACTAACACTCGCACAAGCCTGATGAGACAGTGGGGTTAAAACCCACTTGTGGGCTTGTCATGCGTCATACTCAAAAACTTCATATAACTCAAAAGTATTTATTACTGAATGCAGCTCATTAGCTAAAAAGCAGAAGAAGACAGGAACTAAAACTATTTTCCACATCAGAGGCTGAAGTTTGAATAGTATTTTTTCGCTTTCATGTGAAAGTAGGACTGATTTGTACCTGTTCCGCTTCACCTTCTTAGTAACTGATAGGTAGTCTATTTAGCTTACTGTAAGCATGAGGAGAACAGGCAGAACAGCACAATGTGTTCTGGCTCAGTTTCTAAATATTTACAGCGGATTGTTTGCATCTGTATGAAGATGATGAGTGGTTACTCTAGAGAGACAAATCATTGATTCATATATATACTGCAAACACTACAGGTTTAACTTAATTAGTAGTGTGTAAGGCTTAAATTATATGCATATAAGAAGTTTGGTAAAGTTAAATAAGCCTCACAGGGAAATGTCCCCAAATGACAAAAATTAAAGCAGGGAATAAATAATTCTAAGCAAAATTTTGGGCTATTTTCAAAAAATAAAAGAACAGTTTATCTTAACATTTCTGCTACTTTTCAAGAAAGTAAAAAAAAAAAGAAACAAAAAATATTCCACTGGACTTTTGAAGTTTCCAAGCAACTTTGGATAGAAAAAATAATAATAGCGGAAAGTTTTCACAGGAAGAAAATCTGCTTTTTAATTAGTTGGCAACTGTTTACTGAGACTTTAAATAAATTATGATCACAGAATTACTGAGCAGCCTCCTGGTAGACATTAAGTATTAGAGTCATATATCAAAAGTTTCCACACAGTGAAGCCTGTAACCTGAAACTGTTTGCGTTTAGGTTTGTATAGGCAGCCTTTCTCACTATTATCCTACAGTCATGTGAAAAAATTAGATTTTTTATACATATTTCTTCAAAATTTTAATAAAGGAATTTTCTGGTATGGAAAAATAAATTATGACACCTTCACAATTAATTTCCCTTCAAATGCCACATGTACACACACAGGCATCTTGCATTCAGTGAACATGATGGTAAGAATAAATATCCATAATTTTTAAGGTGGCATGCTTAGACCTTAGATACTTACGTTTGTGTTCTCCTGACTGTTGAATTGAGCTGGAACATCCTGTTGCATTGAAAGAATGCTATTTAATGATGTGATGATGAATAAGAAAGACAATTTGAACAACTTTTGGAAAGGTCTCAAAGTTTTCAAATCAACCATTAAATAGTCTTTAAGTGGAAGACACATGAAACCAGTCCCAGCATACCCAGATGCAGCACTCTAAGTAACTTTCCACTAAAAGCAAATCAGAGATGTTAAAAATCTCTTATAAGCCTCAAATGTCATTACAGGACCTGTATAAGGATCTTCCTGTTTAAGTAAAAAATTTGAGTAGATACATACACATCGGCAAGTTGCTCACTTACTTGCTCTATTAAATGAAAATTGTACTTATTTTAAGAAAAATTGACATACTTAGATTTAAACTGCATGCCTGCACAAGCAAAGACAGGTTTCAAAGTTTTGTTGTGATCCAAGGTGTTCCAGCAGGGAGGCCATTGTTTTGGAAGAAAAACACAAAAATAATTCATTCAAACTCCAGGACATCTGGAATAATGCATCTACGTATGAATTATTTAGATAAAAGAATAAAGGACATATGTGGCATAAACCAAACACAGCATTCCAGGAAAATTAAATTTTTTACAAACTTTGACATGTGAGGGTAAGAATGTCATGGTTTTGAAATTCTTTTTTGCAGCGTGGACAGCTCACTATCATAGCATCTATTTTAAATTCCACCATGAAATATAGGGTCCTTAAGAAAATGTGAAGCCTCTGAAAGAAGAACAAAAGCTGAAGCAAAACTGGGCCTATTAACGTATCAATGACTCACAACATTCCTGTAAATCCAACCTGGGCCAGCTGAGAATTATGAAATTTAGGGATAGCTAATTTCTTGATACTATGTTATATATAACTTGACATTTACTTTTATTTTATTTTTTGCTTAATGAGTGAAAAAAAATGTTTATTTAGTTGTTTCAATGCAAATAAATCACTGTTATTCAGATATAAAATAATTTCGATATGTAATTTTTTTTTATCAAAGTTGTTAAATACAAAATGAAAAACATAGAACAAAAATAAACATTAATTATTATGAGAAAGTGACTACATTAAGGCTGAACAGTTTTGCCAAAAATCTAAATTTCAATTATTTTCAACAAATATTGTAATTGTTATTTTATTTCTAACCACAAGCATGTAGACGTTTCACTCCAGGGTTTCAGATTTTCATGACCTTGAAAGCTTTCATGTGCAGAGTCGATTGTTGCAGGACATTACTGTAAGCTTTGTTTGGAAAAGTGCTATTTCTACCTGCATGCATGCATGGATCTGCGTGCTAGCTGGAAGTTTCTCTTTCCTTTTGTGTTGCAGCAAACCCGCTTTAAACATATTACTGCAACCTAAAATGCTGGGGTGAGTCTTGTTAATGTAACGTGGCCAAAATTAAGTGCCTCTGCGATTTGAAAATTGCATTTGTAACAAGCGGAATATCTCACATATTTTTGATGTTGGTAAAAGGCCTAGTCAACAAGTAAAGTATGAAAGTCAGACAAGAGATTTGTACTTCTTCAGTCATGTAAAAACCATTACCATTTCCCCTCTTTATATCTTCTGCTTGGAGTATGTGGCAGTCCTCCTCTGTCTCTTTAACCTTTTGTGGGTCAAAGCTTCTCTGTAGAATGCCTTCCTCGATTTAACAACAGCAGAAATCCTATTCTCCACCTAATTTTTGAAGTTCATCCACATGAAAGCTAAGTTGGTAACTCGATGCCTCCATATGGAAACCTCCAGCTGCTGAGCTGTCCATCTCTACAGTATGTTGCCTTTTAGCACGAACAACAAATGCGGTGGAAGCATAAGAGAATGCATTTGGACAAGGTGTCAGGATTTAAAGGAGGTGTGATGCTGAATATACGGAGGAGGTCACCAAGTGCACTTGGGGTGAAGCATGCTGGCCGGCGATTAAAGGCAGCTTGTGTTTGTCACAGCCAGAGAAGCATGGAAATCATTTTAAGCATATCATCTCTGTTTTGTATGCTTACTATGCATCTATGCATAGTAAGCATACAAATGATACTATGCATCATCAGCTCTGGAGCTGCAGAGTGATGCTTGAGCTACTGACTATTCTTTTTGTCAAGAGAGTAATTTAGTGTGAACTTTACTTACTGTAAATGTTCTTTTTTTCACTTGTAAGTGAAAAGGACGATATTATTTTAGTCTTTGTAACCAACCTGATTAATAAAAGCAGTTACTGAAAGCACATCAATTTTACTGTTAGAAAATCAACTATGGAAGGATAAAGTGCATGAAACCTTTTTTTAAACTGAACTGAAAATGGCAGAAAAATTTTCAGTTCCTAATGCTTTGTCTGGTTGTTTTTTTTTTTTGTTTTTTTTTGTTATGTAATACATTATCCTTTGGTATTACTAACATTAACAAAAATACAGTTTCTTTTAAAGTATTTACATTTCTTAGACCTAGATCGATGAATTTATTGTGAATTTATATGACAGATGATCGCTAAATAGGGTATCTTAAAGAAGAGGAGCATGAAAACCTTTTCAAGCTTCGATGAACATTTTTACTCACTTTTCAGCCCTTGCTTGACATGACGAAATCAAAACCAGAACACACAGAAACCAAGAATTTAGGGATGCAAGGCCTGGACAAGACCAAGGCTCAAATGGAGTGAAAGTATGTCCACAGCAAGATCAAAACAGTATAGGATCATTTTCCAAACTTCTACTCTAATCTTGACACTAAATTACACAGCACCTGAAATATATCTAAAAATACAGAGATTTTTTTGATACAGTTTGCATTCAGGTGATTTATAATAAAAGAGATTTGATTTATCAAAATTCATTTTCTATTTTTTTTTTTAGATGCCCTAGTGCAGGATTGTATTTTACAAACATATACTAATACAACATAGTTAAGTTTCAGGTTGTATTTTGACAAAGTACAACCCCAAAGTTTCAGTTTGATACATGTATGCTAATAAATGTTCTGCTGTTGATAGATGGACGACATCGAGGCTATGTTTAGTGACCTGCTGGGAGAGATGGATCATCTCTCTCAGGTAAGTCATTTTTATTTTTTTCTTTTAGACAGAAAACGTATATACATGCTGAGTTGTGGATGTTTATTAGTTGCATGCAAATCAGTCTGCATGTTTGCATTCTGTTCAATAGCAATAGCATTCTGATTAATATTAATGCACCTGTCAAGGCCTCCTTAAAGTCTTTGCACATCTTGCTTTTTATAATCTGACCACAAGCATGCAGTATGTAGTGGCATACACAATGCTTTAAAAATCCTCATCTGATTAAAAAAATATTGCTGTGTTGATACACATTTGCACATACAGCCTAAATATAACAGCTAAACCTTTTTTTGTTTTCTGATTTACTCACAAAAAATGCCAGTAAATCACTTACTATTGGCCATGTTTATATGGAAAATATTGGATTACACTGAGAGATCTTATATCATGTGGATTGGACAGCTGTTTGTAGATTCTCAAATGCCATGAGGAAGACCTCCAGCCGTTCACCAACAAACCCCAACTTCAGGCCTGGCTCCAGGGTGGGGCCCTAGCTCCAGCGTACCAACGTCAATCTTTTTGTCTTCATGGGGACTTTTGAACTGCTCTCTGTCTGACCCGTCACCCAGAACCTGTTTGTCTTGGGAGACCCTACCAGGAGCATTTAGGCACCTGAAAGGATAGCCTCTGGGATCATCTGGGCACTGAAACCCCTCCACCACGTTAAGGTGGCATTTCAAGGAGGGATGTTGGATTAACATTATTGTTAATCCAAATATGAGTTAAATGGAGTCAAACCTGTGTATTTTTTTAAAACGGAAACACCACCCACAACACCCCTTTCCCCCACATCTTCCAACATAGTGAGATGATATCACTAAAAGGAATTAGCCAAGATTAGTGTTGTAGTCAAGACCATACCGACTGAGACAAAGGAAAACTGAGACAAGGACAAGACCAAGTCACTTAGAATAAGTCATTTTTTCTTAAAATTGGTCAATTTTGTCTCGAATTGAGAAGGTAAGTGAGACACTTTGCCATGGAACAAGACATTTTACATTTAAAATAAGAACAAACTATTGCATTGTCTCATTCCAAGTGCATGTTATTTAATTATCTTATTTTAAGAGTAAAAATACTCATTCAATTGGCAAAACATCCTATTAACAGATTAAAATTAAGGGTAAATTGACTTTTTTAAAGACATTTCCAGATCGTTTTTTCAGTGCTTGATCTTGATTGGTGTGGTCTTGACTGCAACGCTAGCCAAGATATCAGAAAAAGTTTTGTGGACATCCAAAAGTCTACTTCCTTTTTGGGTACAGTCACCAAATCCAGGGGTTGTTAGAGATATCCAATGCAAATACAAACTGCATAAGGATGTCCAACTTTTATAAAGTTCAAGACCCAGATGGGTTACGTCTCACAGAGATACCCACAAGACACTGACCTTAACATTTAGAAACACATCATGTGGTCTAATGAACTTTAGATATGAGTGTGTGACCAAAATATATACATCTGTTATAAAAAGAAAAAAATTTGCAAGAATAGCATGGGTGGCTGCATGATTTTTAATGTTTTAGAAGTGTTCTGCTGCAGGGCATCTAAAACAAGAGGTGTTTAATTTAACAAAAAAATAACAGTATAGTAAAAAGTTTTTAGATAACAAAGATCAGAAGTCAAGTGTAAGCTGCAAAGTAGTTTCTATTTTTTTTTTTATAATACAAAGATGATGTCCCAAAGACGCTCGGTCTGTTTTAGATTGACTAAATGTATATATGCTTGTGTCTTTAATGGGGCCAAAATAATCCATTGTGATGCTATCAGAAAAAAAAAGCTGAAGAAATAATTTTAAATGTAACTATATGACCTTTTACATCACTCTTCAGAGTCTAGAACAAGCAACAGCTTCGTCAGAAGTGGATGGGACACAAGAGAGCTCCTTCTCCATTGGCTTTAACAACCTGAATGGCAAGTTCTCATTCTTCCTCACATATCTAATTTAAGATAGGTGCAAAATAAATCAGCTAAGAGTAGCTAACATTCAATAAAAGCAATATAGAGGGTGTAATGGAAGAAATTAGTTGGTTAAATATTCAGCATATCCACTTCATTATTTCTCATCAGTGCTTTATGATTGGTCATGTGGAAATAGCCCACAATGCACAATAATTTACACAAAAATCTCTTCAGTGTATGATCAGGAAAAGAGAACATTATTTACAAATAACTGTACAAAGTGAAATAATTAAATGTTCATCAAATCTTCGAATGGAGGATTATAAATTATGACAAATCAAAGAGACAGATAATATGGTACCAAAAATATCAAGAAAAACTTCTTAGAAGATTAAACTGGAACTTTAAGGTAAAGGGAAAGTAAAGGGAAAGTGTCGGATCAAATTGTACATCATCGTTTGAGCCAAAATGGACTTAACGGGAGATGATCAAGGAGGACACCAATGATGAAAAGAAATCCACACCGGAATTTCCCCAAACTAAACTAAAATAGTCAGCATCAGGCAATAAGAGTAGCAAACTGGGTATGCTAGAGAACTCTCGCCTATGGTTCAAATAATTTGGCACTGATGGCTGGTACCAAATAGTTTAAATAGAAGCTTGAACAGGTGGATCTGATGAAAAGTAATGAAAACTGGGCGGAGCTAGGCAGGTCGATGGAATGAACCAATAATCCAGTCGTCAGTGCCAATTTACCTCACTGTGGGTGAGCAACTCCTGTTCCTATCTTTACAACCATAGTTTCGTCTGAAATATCTCGAAGTTCACAAGTGAGTGTTTTTTACTAGCCAGTGCTAGTAAGTGGATAAAGCTAACATTGCTCCTGTCTAAAGGGAGCCACCTCTACCCCGGACCTCGCTGAGCTCTCTTAATGGCTTCTTAGAAATATTTCAGAACAAACTAGTAATAAAGATCCTGAATTTGCTGACCCAGTTTATGTAATATAAATGGAAGCATTAAACTGTTAGGTCTGCAATATTGAGCAAAGCGAATAAACCTAGCATCATACCAAGATACAAAGAAGTTGATTTAACTTGCTTGTTAAAGTAACCAATAAGACATCAGGATCTGTTAAAGATCCACTTTAGTCAAGTCCAATTAGAATGGGTCAAGTTCTGTTTTGTTCTACTTACATTACAGTGTCCATATAATCTGTAAAACTCCCTGCATATTTATAATAAAGCAATTTATATGCATGTAACAAGCGGAATACTATGGCAATAACCGTACTGCTCCACTTGTGAAAGGTAAATCTGTTGGGTTCTTTTTGGCATCAAGACAATTATTCTTATTGCCACATTGCCAGACAGGACACTTAAAAAAAAAAAAAAAAAAAAATGGGTCAAGTTCGCAAATTACATAATTTCACAATACATTTATAGATACTGAAACAGTTCTGTGTTTTATTAAAAGCAAAATAGTTCACAGTTAAATATTATATCTGCTGATGCAATTCTTCAGAAGCAGAAACACTCTAGATTGAAGAGTTATGGTGATGTGAAAAGTTGCGGTTTATAAAATCTTTGATTTAGGTCTGATGAATTTAAAGGCATGTATGCTTGAATTTAATTTTTATCCTTTTATAAAGAATTTATTTTCTATGCAAATTTGTGTAGTTTTTATATGAATATATTAAATTAAATTATATAGAATCCATTTATTATAATAAACTGCAAAGACATGCATTAACTTAAGGTATACGCTACATGAATAAAAAAGTACATTTGCAGCGTTTTTTAATAGGTAGAGTGTGATGAGTAGATTTAATTCTAGTACTGCTAAACAGAAGAAGTTAAATAAAAAAAGATTTAGTCATATCATAAGCATAAGCGCTAGACAAAGCTAAACTAATTTCCTCTTAGTTATCTCCTTTTACAACCACCCCTTGTCGCTTGGATCAAAATGGACTCTGGGGTTAAAAATATTGCTCAAGAACATGAATGCACTGGGCATGAGCACTGCAAACTACACAATGAGAGGTTCAGCTCCAGTATATCAAATTTAAATAGCAGACAGATTTCTCTGTTGCACCACATCAGAGCTTGTTCAGTAATGGCAGCAGATGAGTCTAACTTTAAGAAAACATCTAGAAAATGATTTCTAAGACAGAAATATGTAGGGGGCGATACAATTTCATATCAAAGAATTTCAGTAGATGTGATATGCGTACCTGGTCAGTATCCTACTTTCATTCCAGGGTTTACCACCTAACCCAACCTTGGAAAAATTGAAGACAAAGATAAACAGAAAAATACATGGAAATAAAGAAAGGAACATTTATGTTCATTGCACAGAAACAGTCTGAATTGAATCACAAAGTTACAGGCTTATTATAAGATAGTACAGTAAGTTGTCCCTCGGTAACAGATACCTCAGATACTTTGGCCAGTTTAAATCTAATAACATAAAACCTTTTTCTATGTTATCACAAAAAACATTTTCCAAGGAGGGGAAAAAATATCAATCTTAATGGAAAGGTGAGAGGTAAATCTATGCTGTCTTGCGATTTCCTGAAACACAAACTAAATTAGTGAAAACAATTTTTATATATATTCTGAGATGCATGCACTATTTTTTCACAGAAAAAGATACTACGTGTTTTTTTTTGTTTTTTTTTTTTTGTTTATTGATAGACATTGGCATAACAGTTTATTAAAACCGTAAGAAAATAGCAAAAAGAAAGAAGACCTCTAAACTTTCCACAGTTTACCCATAAACCGCATTTATCATGACAGATGTCAACTCACAGAATGCATGCACTGGAAAAAAATCAAAATCTAGATAAGTATTTTTTTCTTAAAATAAGTGCATTTGTTATTGGATTGAGGAGGTAAAAGAGACATCTTGCCAATGGAACAAGACAATTTACACTTAAAATAAGAAAACACAGTTGCATTGTCTTATATCAAGTGCATATTATCTAGTTATCTTATTTTAAGAGTAAAAATACTAATTCCCTTGGCAAACCATCTCATTTACCTGCTCAAATTAAGGGTAAATACACTTAATTTAGTAATTTTTTTACTTACTTCTAGATCGTTTTTCCAGTGTGTATGATTTGCCAGAAAATACTAGCACTGCATTCAAGGACAGAGTTCAGATGATGACCAACCGTCCTTTGAAAAAAGGAATCGGCCCATATTTAGAAATTAAATTTTGTGTTTAAAGAAAACTTTAATTCAGGTTTGAGTAAAATATTCAGAAACTAATCTCACACACGGAAGAAAAGGCAAACAATTTTACAAATCAGTAGAGTGGCAGATAATGCCTTGCTGAGAAATGTTCCTTGTTTAATTTTATGAGTTGACATTGGCAACCCTAATCATCAAATATTAGTTAGTGTTTCCGAAGAACATTGTTTTATTTACAATAGTATTTAATCCATCTTTCTCTCCCAACAACTAACCAATAAAGTGGTTTAGAGATTAAATATTGCCAATCATGCTAACTGCTAATTTGAAATCAATAACAGTAGCAGATGAAGATTTTGTCAGAGTAGCTAATCTTACTTTATTAAACTTTCTGCTTTAGGAGTGTTAAATGAGAACAGTGCATTTCCTGTAAGAATGTAAACAATATTAATAAAACCATTTTGAGCTTAGTGCTGCAGATTAGAAGCATTTTCAGCTCCTGTCAAGTTTTCCAGCTTAGCACAATGTTTTTCATTACCTTTGTGTAAAATTGCTTTGATGTAAGAATGTATAAACCTTAACTGCAGCAGGAAAGCCTCCCTTTAACAATCTGTGTATGACTTCAAGAATCTGTGGTTTTTACAACTCTTCATCTCTAACTCTGTATCTTGATGTTACGCCATCCACAGAGTCTCTTAATGAGCTGGAGGACAATGAGCTGGATGCTCTGGTTGCTGATCTGGAGTCAAAGTCAGTTCAGATGCAATCTTCCACTGTTGAAGATACCTGCAACCCTACAGAAAATCAAACCTCACCTGCCGTGTATCAGGAGGCGGAGCCTGTAGTGACATTTCCTGTGGTTACCACACAGTCGTCAAAAGTGATAAAGATGGTAAGAATCAAAATATTCCCAAATACATTGTATATGAAAAACAATGTATAGCTATGGAATCCTTTTTTCATTTGAATTCCTTTTAATTTTCTTTGATAGTCCTATAGAGCATTTATTAGTTTTAATTATATCCAAACACATAGGCTTTCATTCATTTGGTATAATATTGTATTTTATTTATTTTTTTGTCTAGAATTGTTTTTTAGATGTTAATTAAAAGTTTTAGGTACGATTGATACACAAGAAAAACAAACAAAAAGCCCTAAAGTGAGAATATTTACGGTAAGTTACTAATGCTGTGTTTTATTATCTGAGCAATTTATCTGGCTACCTCCCCCATATGCACGAACATTCTATACCTGTATTCCTGCGTAATATATACCTGCTTACCTGTATACCCATGCTTTTGTATAACTGTTGCAATAACATTATTTTCATAGATATAAATACAGTCTTCCTAACCAGCATCAACAGCACTTTCTTCAGAAAGCTCTGTCACAGTGGTGCTCTAGCTGTACAACTGTCACTTTTGTCATGAGACAAATTTAAATTCCTCTTTGACATCAAGGAAGCACCTGACTTTCATAATATCTCACTAATATCTCAATCTTAAAACACCTTTACAGTAAAATATGTGTTTCCATTTTTTTTAGTTCAGTGTAAACATGCAAACCATGTCATAGTTTCAACTATTCTCTTAATTTCAAATGCACAAATAAATTATGATGAATATTTTCCAGATACTGCTACAGCTACAGAAACATCCTAACTAAAAAAGCAAAAATAAATTCACAATTAATTGTCCTCTGAGATGGTTGCAAGTACGAGATTCGATCCCCACAGCCTGCACACTGGGTCCCTGAGCAAGACCCTTAACCCCACACTGCTGCTCCCCGTGCGACACACGATGGCAGCCAACTGCTCCCCAAGGGGATGGGTTATATGCAGAGATAAACTTCTCCAATGTGAGATCAATAAAGTTCAATTATTATTGTTAAACTGGTTTAGCAGATCAAAAAAGCTCACTCTGCACTGTGTATGACATAAAATAAAAATAAAATGACAGGTGTGATGCTAGATCTGTCCGCAAATGATACATTGATGAAATGAAATTAAACATACCTAAAAAAAGACTTTAAAAAGTGTAATGGAGGTGGAGAGTGGTTCTACAAAGCATTACCTAAAGAGGGCTAAAAGCAGAGTGTGACACCTAAAATATCCTTATGTGTTGTGTATCAAATTTATATCACTTCAAAAAAAATTTGTTTTAACATAAGTTACATTAAAATTTGAGGTATTACTTTTTCCACTTTTGATCTGAAATCCAGGATACCTTTGTTTTCCAGAATGAACCCCAGACAAAGGCGGACAAAATTAAAGTAGCTTTGGAGAAGCTGAAAGAAGCTAAAGTGAGAAAGGTAAACTCAGCCGATACAGTATCTTGCTTCCAATGTGCCACACAGTTTTAATAAACACAGCACGTTACCCCTAACAGTTGATCATAAAGGTGCTGATGGATGACAACAGCTCTAGGACTCTAATGGTAGACGAGAGGCAGACCGTCAGAGACGTTTTGGATAAGCTGTTTGAGAAGACACACTGCGAGAACAGCATCGACTGGAGCTTGTGTGAGACCAACCCTGAGCTGCAGACTGGTGCGACAACTAGTGCATGCTAAATATTCCAGTAACAGTGAGCAGGAACCTATTATAAAGTGAATTTTTTTATTGTTTCAGAAAGATATTTTGAGGACCATGAGTGTCTTGTGGAACCACTGTCTGCTTGGAGTCGGCACAGTGAAAACAAACTCTATTTCTTATCAATCCCTCAGAAGTACATGATGTTCACTGAGCCGCAGGTAAAGTGAATCGTTCTGTTCGTGCAAAAATGCTGAAAATGTGACTCATTTAAGTTGCAAAATCTTTCTTTTTTAAATGTGCAGATTTTTTACATGTGGAAGAAAAAGAAATCGAGTGGCATGAATAGCCAAGCCAAAGAGCTTCTTATCAAGGTTGGTTAAAGTAACAACAAATTATTTTTCTCTTTTTTGCTTATTTTAATAATAATTACATCAAAACCCTGTTGTATTATCTTTTTTTATTATTAAAAAAGGAGAATTTTGGAGGTCCTACTGTTATCGTTCCTACTCTTGAGGGCATGTTATACTTAAAAGAAGATGGGAAGAAGGTTTGGAAACCTCGCTACTTCATGCTCAGGGCCTCTGGGATCTATTATGTTCCTAAAGGAAAAACAAAGGTAAAACACATCAGGGAAATGTCACCAGTCATGCCTTATAAATAATACATCCTCCTTTATTATAGGGTTTTATGTATAAATTACTTAGCGGAATATTTTTTTAATCTAACCTTAAGAAAACACAAACACTTCACAGTGTAGATATTTATGACACAGAGAGGAAGCCACAGTGGAGTGCTATTAGTGGAAAAGCTACTCTAAATATAATGCTGCACTGCTTCTATGGGATTTAAGTAGGGAAGTGGGAGCCAGATGCTGTAAATTAAAAGCAGTGGAATACCTAATCATCAGCAGATGGGACCACCTCAACAAACGCATGGGCCGGGGAGTTCGAGCGTACAGATAATGTCAACGCAAAGACATCAGCAATGACCTTGAAGAAGCTGTTTCAAACTGTTTGAATTCCATTATTCTGCTCTAAGAATAAGACATTTGAGGGGCGAAAAATGTACTGGACATTCTCAGACTGCAGGAAAAAGTTCACTCTCTCCAAAAATAATAAACATCTCATTTGAACCTACAGCAAGTTGTTGAAATAACCTTTGCAAAAAAAAGTAAAGATGTTCAGCCAAACTGCGTCAGACTGGCGACCTGTCCAGGGTGTACCCAGGATTTCGCCCATAGATTGCCGTAGGTAGGTCTCAGCCCCACTGCGACCCTGATGGATTGATGGATGGAGGGTTGGCCATTATGCACAGTACTATGTTTTTGTAGAAACCATACGTCGGTACACCTGAAAAAGTTTAGATTCGTGACTTAAGGCCATCCATCCTACAGCTTTCAGATAGTTTGGCAAAAAAACTGGATAGGGTTACTTTGAAAATGACCCTAAACATGATGGCAAATCTGCAACAAGATGGTCTAAAATAAAAAAGGGTCAACCTCTTGTAATGAGTTGGTAAAAATCCAGATCTCAAACTGACTGAAATACTATAGAAGCACCTTTACAGAAAATTGACCTTTTAGCAGGACATACTTAAAAAATTTTAAAGAAATTAATCATAATTCTTAAAAAAGGTTTAGCAACAGCACCGTGGGACACTGATGAAGCCGTATAGAAAACCCTAATGGGTAGTTTTGTTTCTCTTGATGGTTCTATATATATATATATATATATATATAGCCTTTCTTCTCAGTTTAACTTCTCTTAAGCTGACATACAGTATACATGCAGTAAATAGACAGACTGATTAAACCAGGTTAATCAGTGTGTTCAATAATGAAATACGGGAAACAAAGGACCTGGCTGAACTTATAAGTAAAAGATACGGTTTTGTTTTAACCCCAGGCATCTTTAAAATATACCACATGAAGTGTATAATACATTCTTCAAAAAATTGCTGTGACACATTTTAAAGAGCAAGGTCAGAAGAAGCCAATCAAAATATTTTCTTCCCTCTTTTTTAGGAAGTAAGACTTCCACTTAGCACCAGTAACCCTATATTTGTTAGTGACGGTATATGTCAACACCACGCTGCTCTGCTGAGAGAGAAGTAGGCAGAAAAGTTTAAAAAGAGACAAAAGCAGAAATATGCATGGTAACCAAAGCTTGATCTTATCTTTCTTTTAACATGTAGAAACATGTGACTATGCAAAATGCAGTAAGGCAAACAGTCTTAGGTTCTAAAGCTTACTAGAAAAAAAAACATGAAACTTCTGTATTTTTTTACTCACCTCTAGACAGCTCTTGTTTTTTTAAATTGCTTGAAAATGTATGTACACCTGGAAATTACTGATTGATTTAAGTTGTAGACTGCTAACTGTGAAAATAAAAGATTTTTGGCTAAAGTAAAAGCTGTTTACATTTTTTTTATTTACAGTAAATAAAATATACATTAAATATTAGACATAATTTTACATAGATTCAATCTATATTTAAAAATAAACTCTACTTTAAATAAACTGAATTGATTTATTTTTGCTAGAGATACAGCTGCAAGTATAGTTTGCAGATTCAAAGTTTGAACAACAAAGGCTACATTACTTAAATGTGTCGGAAAGCGAAAGCTATCACCGTCTGGAAAAACGTCATAATGAAGCTAGTTAAGAAACTGAAGCTACTGACTCCAAAACACCACAAAATCAGTTTAAAATGGCTCTTCTCACCATAAAAAGGAAGTTCTTGTAAGAACCTAAGGATTCTCCTGATTAGATTAAACTGATCCAAACATTTTTGTCCCTCTGTGTCTTTTTCAAGTCTTCCACTGATCTCGCCTGTTTTGTTCGCTTTGAAAAAGTCAACATCTACACCACTAACAGCTACAAACAGAAATACAGAGCACCCACAGACTACTGTTTCCTGTTAAAGGTAAGATCCATTCCAGGCTTTAAAATGCAGTTTATCTTTATTATCTTTAATGCTTTCTTTATTTTCCACAAGTCTAAACTTCTTGTGAGGAACAGCTTATTGTAGCGGCTGGATTTCCAGTGACAGCAGCTGTCCTATCAGTTGTTAAAGATAATAAATGCAGGTTATTTTTCTTAACCAGCTTTCATCCAATAGGTTTTTGACCGCACTCTATGGATATTATAGCAGGACAGATGGATTATATTCTGAGTCGCTGGAGTTTAAAAACTCCTCTCAGGCTTGTTGAAAGTGCTCTTATAAAACATGCAAATGGAAAGAGGAAATTGGTGAGCAAAACAAGGAACAGAGGCCAGTAATGGGGTGTCCTAAACCAGAGTGAGAACCGAGCGACTTCCATGGTCCCAGCTGAACCGAGGGAACATTAAGAACTGGTTAAAATGTGTGGAGACTCAAATAACAGTCTGACTAAACTGCAGGTTTCAGGGGTACAAATACTTTGTTTAGAAGAACAAATACAACACAGATTAACACTCTGGGTATGTCTACACTGCCCTCTGCTGATACATTTAGGTACAAGCCATTTAATATTTATAATTGATTATTGAACTTTATTGATCTCACATTGGAGCCAGAGTGCAGGATGTGGGGATCAAACCGGGTACTTGCAAACCTTCTCAGGGCACAAGTGCACTAATTTAACCACAAGGCCATCACCTCCCAAAGAGTGATGTCAGAAGTGGGATTAAAAAGGAAAAAGAAACTATTTCCTTGTGCTCCGCATACAAAATATAATATTTATTATGTATGTAGCTCTAAATAAAAGATTTCAATGCTGTCAGCATGTTCATTTCTGACTGACCCAGTTTGAAAAATGAGGGGCCTCTACCAAAACCATTTGGGCCTTTAATCAAATGCATGCACATTTGTTTATACGTCTTGTAGAAATCTGTCAAAAGCCTTGAAATAAATCCAGTTTTTATAGCGGCATAATCCAACAAAGACAAATTGGTAAAAATCCAGCCTTTCATTTGAAAACATTTATTCAAATCATCCCAGAATCCTGAGCCGTCACACGTTCTCTCTCCTTAGAGTTCCAACTAATTTTCTTGGTGAAGCGTCTCTGTGCTGGGTTGGCTGCATGTTTGGGTCATTGTTACAATGAAAGGCTTTGCGATGATTCGTTCTCAATTTGCTCACAGATTCAATAAGATTTGATCCTATAGCTGCATTATTTTTCCTGAAGCAATGTATTCAAACAAGCTTCCCTGAATGTTTGATATAGAAACAGACCCACAGCATCACATATCCTCCATCTTGAAGTTGGCATGAGGTGCTTTTCTGTTTTATGGTAAACCTAACTGAAATATTTGCTTCTGAAAAGTCCATGCTTAGTCTCGTCTCAGCAAAGTTTAGGTCCAGCAGAGTTTAGCAATATCCATGTGATTACTGCAGCGTTAGTCCAGATTTATTTATCCTTTTTTTTTCGTGGTATGTCTATGTAGACATGGTCTAATTGTTGCTCTGGTAACCCCCAGATTTAACCTTTTAAATGTTTTTACTGTGAGCTCCGATATATCCACCTCCCTTTACACCTTGCTCTCTTTGCATAGTGACAGGAAAATAATGGTTTCTCTTCTAGTTTACCCAATAAAATATAATGAAATAAAAACTTTTAGTTTGGAAACATAAATCCAGGCAGTTACCACTGCACCACGGCTGATTTTGTAAAAAAAAAAAAAAAAAAAAAGAATTATTTGAGGTTTGCAACCCAACTGCATACATACACAGATTAAAGGTCGGAGTTTCTGAATTTCTGCTTCTGCTATAAAATCTCTGTTTTTTGTTTTTTCTCAGCATCCCTGCATCCAGAAAGAGTCTCCTTACATCAAATTCCTGTGCTGTGAAGACAAACACACACTCCTGCTTTGGGTCAACTCTATCAGAATAGCAAAGGTCAGATTCCACATCTGAGGGTTATGCTGTTGCGCTGCTCTAATGTTCATTATATTTACCTTAAACATGTGTCTCTGTGTGTCTGTTCAGTATGGTGCAGCACTGTACAACAACTATAAAGCTGCAATGAAGAGGACATCGGTTTTGCAAATTCCCCAGTATGCACCAAGCAAAGGTGGGAATGCACCTTTAGTGTTTCATTAATAGACTTTAAATGGCTTATGATAACTAGTTCTATTCAAGCACTGATTCAATCCAATTTACACCTCTTTAGACATGTCAACTGTAGAGCAGCTACCACCTGGAGGGAACTACCTGCTTAGTAAATATCTGAATGTGTGTTTCTTTTTCTCTGTAGACAAATCCAACAGTCAAACCTCCCTGGAAAGCCCATATCCAGGCCAGTTAGCCATAACCGCTGAAGAAGTTCCCTCTGAATCACCACCAGACTTCGTTTAACTTCCTCCATCTGGACAATAGCAGCAATAAGAAGAACAAGAACTTCCTTCTCTGAAGGAGTGCTAATATTAAAATTAATTAAGGCCACATTTAGCAGCAGCTGTTGATTGCCAGAATACCTGTTCTGGTATTGCACAGATTTACCTTCGCCACGGAGGTTATGTTTTCATCCCCGTTGGTTTGTCTGTTTTCAAAATTGTTAAAACAGTTATGGATGGATGAGTTTTGCTAAAATTGTTTGAGAAGCTGGATATTGTGACTGGAAACAAATTATTTAATTATGGTGATGATCGGATCAGCATCTAGATCCAGGAATTATTTTAAATATTCTGTGAATACAGGTTTTAACTTAAGGTGGAAGTCACAAATGAGCTATAATAGTGTTGCACCGATGCCATTTTCTGGCCCCGATACCGATACCTGGCTGTGCAGTATTGGCCGACATCGATACCATACCGATACCATCTGTTTGAAATTGATGTGTGTGTGTGTATGTATGAATGCATACTATTTGGATGTAAAATAATTGCCATCATGGCTTTTTGTAAAGCTGCTGCCTACCTTTGGGAAGCTGGCAAAAGACTAATACAAAGTTAATCCAGCAGAACTTTTTATTGCCTACCTAGAATGGGTGAAAATAGTTGAATAAACTTTTGGCTCTCAAAATGGTATCGGTGCCCTATTTGCTGGTACTCACCGATACCACCATTTTAGTGCTGGATCGGGGCCCCGATAACGATACTGGTATCGGCTTTATCATATAAAATTAGGCTTTATCATTGTTGTACAGGATAAAACAAAATGTTGTTTGTTGGCATCTCTTGTAGCAGCATCAATGTCAGTTAGTTACTGTTTAATAAATGATCTGTGCTAATATTAGAGCAAAAGAAAAACAGTGTAGTCCTCTATTTATTGGACTGTGCTCTGACATTCGTTAGGATGTAAGGCTAATTTTTCCAACATACTGTGTTGTAAGGATTCACTGCTCCTTATGGGGCTTCACATATTTTAACATGAGAGGAATCCAAAGATTTTTTAGAAGTTAGGGGCGTCCCAAATACATCTTTAACCCTGTAATGCCAAATGTATCATATTTGATACATACGGTTTCTGAAATGTTTTGCGTCTGACACCCTTTGCATAATTTAATGGTAAAAACTTTGCTCAAAATCCTATTGTACACAATCAGATATACCTGATAACAGAGGGCAGAAGACTACACAAAAAATAATCTTGACTTATCGCATAGTAATAAATTATTGATATCAAAAATTTATTTGTTTTTTCTTTTTACATATTTTGTTAAAAGGCCAAATAAGGACTTCAAACCAAAAAAAAAGTAATTTTCTGTTTTATTTTATTCTTGGATCGGGCTTTAAAGGGTTAATATTTCCAAAACAGATATTGACCTGATTTCTGCATAAATCATACACTCTTTATTTACTCATTTTATAGATTGGAAAGTTAAAAAGAGTATTTATAAAGTAATATTACTCAACTCAGAACAAAAATCACTGCTCTCCAAGGGGATGGGTCAAATGCAGAGTGATCTTCCCCATTGTGGGACAATAAAGGGGTTTACACAACTGATCAATTTATTATTAACCAATAGGTTAAAACAGAACCAGCGTTTCTATCGCCTGGCTATAGATTTTAGATGCAGGTTTTTTTTTGGACCAAATTCTTATTTACAATATCAAAAATAACATCCCTGTTAAAAGTGTCTCGAAATGCACAGCAATTTCAAAATGACTTTGTACAAAATTTTAAGGGTGTTAAGTGTAACTAATGTCTGTGATACTAGTAATTCTGTTAGAAATTACTTTACCTTAACCAAGGCATTTTCTCAACTGAGTTTGAGTGCTTATTTTATTTTGTTCCTGACATAAATAATTGAAGCTTTTTCGATCCAAGGAACCCAAAGAAATAGCCTGCATAGTATAAAAAATAAGTTATTATTATAACAAAAATGTACCATCTCAAAAAAGTCTGTTTTGACACTTGTTTCATTGGACTGTTTATTACAAAAAGACTGTACATACATTTCAATGAACACATCCTATGTACAAATTGAGGGGGGGACAAACATCAGATTCTATTCCCATCAACATTTAAGTTAAAACTTTTTTTTATTTCTCATTTATTCCACATTTGACCGTATGAAAACACCTTGGAGAAGGGTGCTATGTCTTGTAACGCACCGGTGCTGGAGCGAGTAAACGTTTTTCTGTCGCCGACTCGTGATTTCCGAATGAGAACAAAAGCGTATAAATAAAGCCTTCGCGTAAAAAACTGTGAGCAGGAGCTTCTCTGCTCTTTCTCACACATGAAACATAAAAACAAGCTGAATGCAAAGCTAAAAAATGCATCACGTAGAAAAGGTTGTAAATGTAAAAAATGACCTCATGATGTAAAATACAATCAAGACAGAGACTTAGAAGACAATTATCGTCTATAAATGAGATACTGTCATGCAGAGAGGCGGACTGAATACTGCTTATATCATGAAAACATTCCCCTTTAAAGTAAAAGTCTTTTAAGATAAAAAGCCAACACATGGATTGGCTCCAGCTTTAAAGATATGGAGTTTTACTTCCACCAACAATCATTTTATAGGGCTGGGGGAAGATATTTCCTTTTAGAGAGAAAACTATCAAAACCCTTCATATGTAAAACCTTAAAGGGACACTTCTGATGTTGTTGGAGAGGGGTTCATCAAAGTTATCAGCAGCAGTTCCTTCACCGGTTGTAAAAATGTCAAAGTGCAGCCAGTTTGTAGTAAAGTGAAGAAAATTGGAGCCAAGCTCCCCCTTCATTTTCATTGTCTGTGATCCACAGTTTATCATTGGGCTTGTTTCTGTTCTCTCAATCCGTTTAACTAAAAGAATCCAAATTCAGGAGCATCAAGCCTTCAGATAAAGGGAAGCTCTATCAGTAATAGCAAAGCAGAATGGTACCGACATGGCGCGGCTGATGTTTGATGCCATGTGGAAAAACCTACAGAGGAAACATATTTCAGCTTCTTCTCCTGACTGGATGTGGCGGTCGGAATATTAACAGAAAACAGAAGAGTTGAGGCCTGAATTGATCGGTCTATCTACCTCACTGGGAGATCTTCACTCCTGAACAAAACCTTAAGATACTCCAACTCTTCTACTTCAGGAAAGGGCTACCGGTAGCCACAATTAATCCAGGGGGCGACTCTTTGTGTTAACCTCTAAAGGAGGATTGTACCTGTATCAAACTGTAACAGCTAGGGATGTCCCGACATCTGATTTTTTCCAATCTAGTACAAGTACTGATACTTTAGTACTTGTCATTAGAGTATGGATACAAGTGCTAAATAAAAGCTTTGTCAAATTAAAAAGTTTTGATCTTATTTTAGTAAAGTGTTAAGCTGCCACAGTCAGACTTTTACCTTAGAATCAGTACAGCTTAGCTGCATTAGAGGCTTTTTTCCAAGAGGGAAAACTAGCTGCAGCTAGGCTACACCTAACTGTTTTAATACTTTGATCTTTGTCAGATATAAAAGTGGTATCGGCTAAGAGTATCGGGTCGTTTTTGCAGATACAAGTCCTTGATGCTGGTATCGGACCCGGTATCGGTGCATCCAAAGTCATAGCGCCTCTAAAATCGGGCATTTTAAATAGCAGGATGAAAAAGATTGTGACATAAAAAACAAAACTACTTTACCAATGAGCAGTTTTTTAGAACCCTGTGTTTAGCAGTAACCCTGTGCTTAGCAGGAACCCTGTGCTTAGCAGGAACCCTGCTAGCAGCTATAAGTAGGGAGTCTGTTATTTTGTGGAACTGCACTGCACTTTTACGTCCCTGATTCTCTGATAAGTTTCCGCCATTTTGATTAGCTAGGGAATTATGAAGGGAGAGGGCAAAACTGGGATGACTGTGTCTAATCTTCCCTACAGCATGTAAATATAGAGTTTGAGTTGCTTTCATTTGCTAACATTAGCTAAAACAATGACTGAATTGCCTTTTCCCTCACAGGATTTCACTTTCCCACAAACTCCATGCAATATTCCATACGAGCACAGCAGGTGAGGGAAATGTCACTAATAACTTAGAAACCTTGACAAGCGACACTAACGAATCCCTTTTAAATTACCTAAAAGAGCTAGACATGATTAGCACAGAATCTGGAGACAGACAGAGGTGACTGACGGTACTTTACCGCTGATTTGCCTACATTCACATCACAAGTATGAGTGAAGGAGTTTACAATCAAAACCAGCAATGAGAGAAAGAAAGGACATCTCTTTGTTACAGTTCTTAACGGAGCAGTGTTGCACTTGAGGTTGTTTGGGTTGGTGGCGAAGGTCGTTAAGCACCAACTGGAAAGCACCACACCAGTAAATGTTAGCAGAATAAAACAAGTTCTTAAGAGTGTCTTCTTCACGTAGCAACCGCTGTGATGGAATCGCACCCAAAATGGAAATAAAAATCAGTACAGTTGTTGATAACAGTGCAGCTACAACACAAAGGAAAAAGAAACATTGAGTCCTTCCTCTGCTTCACATTCTGAAGCCTCCAGTAGCTCGGATACTGAATACAGCGGCCATGATCAAAAGATAACAGCTGGAACATTAAAACACAATCACTGTGTAGGGATAAAGTAGAAATGGCACGGTGACTAAGGATAAATGAACATTCGTGTAAAAATAAGCAAAATTTAAAAAGAAGTCCAATCTTGGCACCGCTCTCCTCCACTGACGAAGCACGCTGACACATGTACTGTACTGGCAGTTGGTCACGATACACCTTATATATACAAGTTAGAGTACAGGAAAAAAAAAAAAAAAACTCCACCAGACTGAAGAAGGAAATTGTCTTTTTCACTATTAATGCATTCTGTACAATCTTCCTTTGTAATCGACACAGAGCAATGTAAATACACACACCGTCAGGCCCCCGCTCTTAAACCTGGAACGTTCAGTCGTGTCCTGAAGCTCTGGATGTTCTGTCTGTTTGAGAGGAGGGAAGAG